AGAGTGTTACATCCATCTGTTCCCATGTGGTGCTCTCAAAGGAAATCTTCCTACTCCAAAATTCTCTCTCTACTCCTACCTTCAACAGGACAGATTTTCAGCTGTTGCAGATTGACATAGCCCTGTTACTATCAATTCTCATGAACTGATAATTCAATCAAAACCCAAATTACTTCTGTCCTAAAATGGGAGTATATTGTTCTAGACCTCCAAATCTCCCAGGAGCTAAGACAGGCCACCATAAAAGCAAGGGTTATAAACGTGAATTTATTATAGACAAATAAGGATTTGGTCTATGAATTCTCTTTGCCTATTAAGTTAATGAGCCTTGACAAAACAATCATCTGAGGAGTAGCTGACAAATTATCTGAAGCAGCAATTTGAAAGGCGTTGGCTGTCTTACAAGTATTTCAACTGGGAGAACATGGCATCATGTTCCTCTTCCCCTGGATGTTATTTGTCAAACCAAACTTCTTGCAGTTCAGCAGCAGATTCTCAATATTGGAGCACTGAGATACAACAATGACTGCAGTTATCAACACAAACAAATAATCCCTCTCCCTTCCTCCCCAAACCTGAGGCTCACAAATTCTGATGAAAAACTCCTAGGAAGCCTGCCGGAAGACAGGGAGGTATCTTTTTATATTTGTCTGGAGACCATGGAAGTATATAATGTGGAGGAATAGGGCTTTGAGGGATTCAGGTGAGTAAAGAGAGACCTGTCAAAATACCTGGTCAACATTTGGAAGATTTTTTTGTAGTACAACTTCCAATAGAGATGGTAGTATCACAACTGTGGATTTAAAACAAGGGTTTTTTATGGATTAATTCTACAAAATATTCAACACAATACAGCCCTGAGACACATGACCTTTGTGAAATTTAGGGCTGCACACAATGAACACTTCTGCAAAAACAGCCACTTGGATTAGGATTAATACTTTTTAAAATCTGTTCTCCAACTGTGAATACTGTGTCCATTTGGAAATCAGATCATGGTATATGTTGTAAAGCTGTCATTTTCTTGACCAAAGGCATTTGGTGAAATATTATTTCAAATGTCTTCCTGCATGCTCAACTTTTCAAAGAGTCCTGTGGAAAAGATGACAGTATTTGAGAATATTGACCACTCTCATATTTTCCATCTGATTGTTACTTCGCGGTGGGAAGGAAGCATAAATTATAGCAATCAGTTGCCTCTACCACAGCATGTAGCAGAGCATAGGGCAGAGCATTTTACCATGAGTTATGTCTTTTCTCATATTTTCTGTTCTTTCTGCAGTTTTTGTTGGATTGTTGAAATAAGCAGACTGATTAAATATACAGGGACTACAGCTTAATTTTACATCAAAGTAGAATGAAGAGAAATGAAACCTTGTTCTTCAAGAGAATTGTTAACTGACACTCAGTAGAACAAAACCCAGCTTTTTAAGTCCTGATGTCAGGTCATCAAATAGCTGATGATCAAGTATTCAGTCAATCACACAATAAAGCAAAAGGATGTAGAGAATTATACCTTCAGGTGGCAAAATGGCCCAGCTCTATAAGCTTTCCAGGGCTCCACTGACTATTGGCATCCAGGTATCTGGTCTGCAGGAAGTAGCCTTAACAGGTCCACCCTCTTCCCCAAACCTATATCTATAGTCCTGACAGTCATGTCTATAGAGATCCACCATTTAGCAATGAATCGCATCTCACTATGGTTAGCAAGCCACAGCGTAATCCTCAGCGCTCCCAACGCACAACTCTATAGCCCCCAAATCCCCTAGAACCTGCTTGTTCAATTTTCTAATTCAAGTTGGTCCCTTCCTTTCTAAAGGGACCACTTTAAAAGTAAGTCTTTTCATAATGATCTCTTCTGTTGTCTGGTTCTAAACACACAGAAGCACCATGACGCTTAGAGATAAATTACTCATATGTACATTGTACCTAAAGACTTGAAGTCATTTTACTACTTTTTGGCTAGTTATTTCCTTTAAGATGATATTTGCAGAGAAATTAAAATATTGTGTATAGATCTGTTAGTGCCTAGCACCCCTCTGGAGTTATTTATACCTTCATAAAACATTGCTCTTATCAGTGTTTTTCACTCACACTTGCACTGGCCTGAACAGCTTGACTAATCACTTTGTCCAGTGATTAAGCATCTTTTCACAAATTCTAGAAGCTACACTTTTCATTCTAATAAACTGACAGCTTCTGCATGGTCTTACCACATCTGTTGCATTCTTCACTAGTATTTGTCTTATTGCTTTTTTTAATTTAGCCTTCTATGTCATAGCACTGCAATGCCTTTCACAGCTGTTTTTCTAATCCCTGGGGTTTTTTTCCTGTTAGTGTCTTACATTAATTTATCATTTTAATTTCCACTTACACATTTCTGCTCTTCTCTTCCCACATTACTCTTTCCTCTGAAAAGTGTTTTCTGTAGAAAATATCTATGGTCAAAGCTTTAAATACAATTATTTTTCTTCTACTTTAGAATATAAAAGATGACAGTTTTTTTCCTGACAAAGGAAACACACAGCATCTTCTTGAACACTTGTGCCTAACTCTTCCTTTGTCTCCCAAGTCTTGTTTGCAAACAGTTTACTACTATCCTCGGTTATACAAGCATACAGTTTTGGATAGTACATTTTTCTTCATTAAAAGATTTCTCAGGAGGCAATCACTGACAATATTTTACAGAAATGTCTTCCTTTACTTCAGTTATGGAAGTGTTCACCATTGTAGGTTTTAATAACTGTCCTATTGGAGCACAGCTAGCCTAGGGAATGCTAAATTTTAGACATATTCTCCATCACGACTTGGTCAGGGAGGTGATTATTTTTTGCTCAATTTCTTCTGAACGGCTTAGGCAGCCACCCTATAAACCCAAAGATCCTCAGTGAACAAAGTATGCACAACACAGAAATAAAATGACTGACTCCAACCAAATTACTACAGCTTTCAGTGAAATCTTAGTCACTTTCTATACTCATAGAGAAACAAATACTGAATTAATTTATGAAATGTGATACATATTATGTAACCTATTTTAGAGCACCATTCCAATGGATCAGAACATTGCCTGTGTTCATCACTGGATTTTGGATGACCAAAATTATACACTGAATTAGCATATATCTTCCAGTGGTGCAGATGTGAAAGCATGGTTAAAAACAAGCACAAGCTGTAGAAAAAGAAGTTCTACGGTGAAGATGCAAACTATGAGATAAATCCAGTGATGTTCATGCACTCTAATGAAGGATGTGAGGAAGAAGCGCATGCAGTACCTGGTGATCTCAGAGTCAGGGAGCAGGCCTACGTGGTAGTGGGGATAGGGAGCTGTAAGAAGGAAGCTTTTGTCACACTCGACAGGGGAATAGTGCCTAGGAGAAGGTGGTTTATCACACAGTTTGTTCACAGTGCTGTAAACAGGTTCAGGAGGCCTGGTGATACAGAGACAAGAGTAAAAGATCAGGTGTGCATTAGTGGCTGAGAATATAGAGAAAAAACAGCAATCATTTTAAAAGCATACATAGCAAATCTGTCAAGACTTTTTCAGTACGGCTTTTCTGACAAGTAAAGTGTGCTGTTAAAGGAAACATTAGAATTCGGTAACACAGTATTATGGCATACAAGCAACTGCGTATAAAGATACACACAATATAAGCAGGCCATAAAACTGGCTTACGGGAAGTGTGGTACTGAAAGGCAATATCTTATCTCTGAAGTTCAGTGATGAATTTTCCCACATTCTCTGCTTGCTTTTTTTTGTTTTTTAATCTAACATCATTACTTCTGCACAGCTTTCTGTGATCTTAATTTTGAGCATTGCACAAAAGAAAATATGATGTTTATTACCTGAAAAGAGGTATTTTTTACTCATTAATTGAAGATAAAGATGAAGTACATATTACTGGTTAATTCAACATACTCCTGCCCCAATGAGCTGGGGCTTTGCAAGTACAGCTGTGGTCAAAGTGAGCCATATCCTATAATAACGCTGTTGGTAACAAAGTGTGTAAGCAATTAATCTCATTGGCAGGCAATTCGTTTCATTTCATGAGTTCTTTGCTCTCTTTTCAGATTCAGCCTTCAGAATCTGATTATGCAGATCACATCTCAAACAGTTAACCTTGCAGTTGACAAGGCTACTGCAATCGCACTTGCACTGCTGCTCCAAATTACAGGCAGCAGTCTGCGGAGCTAGATACAAAGAATGAGATCCTAAAACTGATGCTGACAGGTCACCTAGCATTTCTCTTCTGCTGCGTAGAGGCCAACTGCTTGGGAGAGGCAATACTTACCCCAAAGCTCCCAGGGAGCCACCCAGGGAGAGGGCAGAAGGGGATGCAGCCTTTAGTACCAACCAGCCAAGGATCCACAGGAGACAACCAGCAAACAGTTTTCAAAAAAATGCACCACATATAGTACATTTCCCGGCATGCAACTTCTCCAACTACTGCGTTGGCCCCAGCAGATACCTCTGGACCTACTGGCAGAGTGAAAATTGACTCATAATTTCCTGTTGTTTCTGTTCTAAAGAGCTCCAAGATGTAATTGTTGTCATACCCTTGCTTCTGCCAGAAGATCCAGGGTATGCCACTGTCTTTATTCACAGCAATACAGTATTAGTTAGATGAAAAACTTATTTCAGAAGCCTGAAAATATCAAGAGGCCAAGCAATTAATGAACTCTTTTTGTTCTTCTGGCTGCACTGTGTCTGACATGGGTGTGGTTTTTGCTGTGACTTTCACAGGTACCAGAATTTATTACGGTCATGGATGCACTGGCAGATACAGAGAACATATTTTTCTTTGTTATTAGCTTCTGGTTTTGTCCTTTGGGGGAAAAGGAGTAGCTGCTGTACTTAAAAATTGGTCTCAGTCAATGCTAATAACATTATTCATAGCAATCTGACATATGATTTGAGAACTCTCTGTGCCTGACTTTCCCAGGGAAAACTTTACAGTTAAAAAAATGACATTTTAAGATTACCAAGTATCAAAGTAGCAAAGCTGTCACTAGTTTTGTTGTAAAGCATTCTGTCAAGCATTTAGTAAAATCCCTTTAAAAATATTTAAGGTAGCCATTCTTTTTTATCAGCATATTTCACACTTGTTTCAGAGGGACGGATTTAATAATTTATTTACTAAATCAATTGCTGCTTTCAATACAAAAAAAATCAAGAGAAAAAACCACTTCTATTATTTTACTTTAGACCAATACTACCTTTTATTCCGTTAGAAATCAGTTTTGCTTTTAGGGAGTATATTAAAGAACAAGTACAAATATCAAATATAAATGATACCTACTATGAAAATTGAAGAACTATTGCCCCAGTGCAGGAAGATGAATAAAAACTGTAGACTTCTCCATGGCTCAAAACACAAACCAGTCCATAAACAACGTGCTAGCTTCCTATATTCAAGTTACTTGTCTTCTCTGAGTGGCAGATGACACGAGAGTGTCGCTACCCCTTGGATCTATTGTGAATGCTCAAACTACACTGAGTCATCAGTGAGTGACCATCCAACCTTGTGCTGAGACACAAATTGTGCCACAGAGATGGACAGATATGGGAGATTGCTCTGTTAATTGACAGTTACAAACTGCTTCCAAAAGCAAAATGAAGGTAAACATTCAACATCTACCTAGATATTGGGACCAAGTTAGTCCTTCAAATATAAACACAGAGCCCTAACAAAATATCTTGCGATGTCCAGCAAACTTTAAAACATTCAGTATTTTTCACTCCTTTCAGTCTTGCTGGATGGTAAGATAATAGAAGATTGGAACAAGCCACCGTGCTGATGTATCAAGTCCTCAATTCATTGGTATTATCTAAGTGACACTGTGACCTAGCTAACAACATACCCTCTGTAACTGAGCTGGAGAGAGAGGTCTTAACGTTAAGAAAAGGAATTAAAACTTCTTACCCTTTTAAAGCTTGGACTCTTTACTTAGCATAGGATTCAGAGTATCAGCTAATTCCAGTTATGGGTGCACTTCTTGCAAGGTCTATGAACTGGTCTGAGATCATCATAGCCACCTATTTACCATCAGATGCCATTCTTCAAGGTCATTAAGATCATGGACTGAACTGGTTCTTTAGGTACCTTCATACTACTCAGCTGCATATGCTAATACTGCCAATTGCATAGCTGGGACCCGGCTGCACATTTTATTGACACAGAAAAGCAAGAACTTTAAAAATGAGCGGTATGTAACATCACGTGTCCAGCTCAGATCAGTATAAATTTATTTTCTCTCTCAATTTGATTTAGTAAATATAAATGAAATAGTGTAAAAATAATTGAAAGTTGGGATAAAAAATAGAAAGGAGGAGAATGATAAAATATACTAGGCAGATCATTTTCCTGCTCATACAAACTGTGCTTCATGTAGGCCAGTAATCCTTAAAAGTAATATGAGAAACTTGCTGCAACAGACTGTCTTCAAATATGACAGTCGTCTTGACTGACTCTTCAACTTTTCTACGGCAAACGAGTACTTAGCTACAATAGTACCTACCTATTTGGAAGACAACAATCCCAAATATAAAAAAAAAAAATTATGAAGACCACCCAGCTTTATGAAATGATTCTTCTAATGCAGCATTTTCCTCTTTTAATTTGTATTTCTCCTCACTGGAAGAAGAAGAACAAACTTCTACCCAATGGGACCAGCCCACCTGGTGAATTCTGTCTTGCATGTCTTCTTCTCCAGTGCTATGACAGAGACAGGTTGTCTTCTCTCAAAGCATGGGATAAGGAGAATGCTATTTAGAAACAGTTTCCAATATGCCATTCTGAAAAAATATAGTCAAGGTCACGTGAACTTTTCTTGCAAAATAATTAAGAGCCAGATTGAACATAAACATTGAGGCCTTATTTTATGATGCATTAATTCTTCAAACAAATTTCAAAACATGTAGCAGGTCATTTAGCATGCTGTAACAAAAATGCAAAAGTTAGATATACAGTATTTAAGGACTGATTCACTGTAGTTTACTTGCAATTGCATCACTTTCAGATACAGTGGGTACATCTTCAGAGGTTTTGTCTTATTTAAAATAAATACTAAGCAATTTTTGTAATTTTTAACATGAGGAAGAATAAAGAACTACGTCCTGGAATTTATTTTGTCCATTACCTTCATTGTTTTTAATATTTATGCAAAAAATCCCCTTAAAATGCTAAATGTGTGAATATTCCTGTATACTTCTTGGATAATTGTAATATCTCTTTTAGTGAGTAATTATCTAATATGTGTCTACTCTGAAAAATAACTACCTGCTGCTGTAACTTCTCATTTAGCAGATCTGCTCCTTTTGTGCCTTTAAACTGTTTATTTAGTGACAAACGTACATTACAGTTCTCTGTCTTTATCAGTAAGCTAAAAACCAAGCTCTGTGATAAATGTGAGCAGCAACTGCTAGGCCTAAATGGACAGCAATAATTAGGTTAGCATGAGAATCAGGCATGCAATAGTAGAGGAAAAGCAACAGAAAATGTAAGTAGTAGCATAGCTTGGCTTGAGCACGCCTCAGTAGATAATTCAATCACAAGAGAGAGAATCAAGTCACTCAACGCCACAAGGTAAGCTTTTAAACGGTAGTATGAACAGCAGATAGTCATAAACTACTTTTCTAGCGAAAAAAAATTGAAAGCTGGAATTGTTAATCAGTATAGACCTAAACGCAATGAGGCAGCATTTCCGCAGAAAGGTATAACTAATTGGTGGAAAACCTAACAGTAACAGTGGGAGGTGGATGATTGATCTGACACTGGTTTTATTTATTTATTTCATAACAGATTGTGTAAAGGAAGCAAATCTTCCTAGCTGTTTGTAATCCTTATTATTCCTTGTTTGGATCATCATTGTGTTATTGTTTCAGGTTGGCTTTATTGCACAACAGAAGTTATAAGAAAATGGCATTATTAAAACTGTTCGCTCCTCAGCATCATGCAGGGTCCTCAATTTAATTTTAACTTTTTTTATTGCAGAATCCTGTTTGGTATGGTTCAGCTGCCAACACATAGCACATTAAATGTTAAGAGTTTCATTTTTTAAAACACTTTAAAACCTTTTATGATATGGAAAGAAACCAGCTAAGCTCTCACAGCATATTGTGTATGCAGGGCTATAGCCAGGAAATACTAAATTCAGTCTGAGAGAAAATAAATCTCTCAATGCTACAAGTTTCCAACATTTGGTTTTTTGAATAGCAATTTTTAATTGTACCCAAGTTTGGTAACGACAACTAATACATTAGTATTGCTAATGTAATGTTGCTGGGAAGTGTGCAAAGAACTGTCTTTAAAAGTATATCACTATTAAAACAAAAATCAATGGCAATTTAATACAAATAAACTCTTCCACTTCTAGTAATCAGTGATTTTTATATATATGTCTTTTGACTTCTCTGAGTTTCCTTTTCGTA